TACCGGAGTGCCTCCCTAATGCAGCTCCAGGGCATGGAGTTGAAGGCGTTGGCGATGTCAAGAGACACCGCCAAGACAACCCCCCTCTGGCCACTGCATCCCCCGTCGTGAGGGCTCTCACGCGCATGATGGCTTCCACCGTAGAGCGCCTCTTGCGGAAACCAAACTGGTGTTCCGCAAGATCCGGCCCCGTCCCCGCAAGGTGCTCGGCGAGGCGGTTTGCAATGACTCTTTCAAAGAGCTTGCCCACCTCGTCGAGCAGCACCACGGGCCGGTATGCGGACGGAGAGTCCGCAGGGCGCCCCGGCTTCCGAATGAGGACCAGCTTCCCCGTCTTCCAACGAAGCGGGAATTGGCCTCTCTCCAAGCATGCGCTTAGGAGCCCCTCCAGTCGGGGCCCGAGAGCCTCCGAGGCCAGGACCCAGGCTTTGCCAGGCAAGCCATCGGGTCCTGGGGCGGTATTCCTGGCCTTGAGCCTACGTACCGCCACTCTCAGGTCTACCCCGGTCCCTTCCGGGATGTCGTCGTCGTCGTCCTGGTGGTCCGCTTCCGGCACCGCATGTGGCGGAGCCATAGGCGGGGGGTGGATGTTCCCGTCGCGCAGGGAACAGAGCGCTCACCACGTCCTCCACGAGCTGGGGCCGGAGACTTTGCGTCAGCGGGGGCCCAGGTGCGGAGTTTATCCCGCACCATCTTGTAAGGGCGCCCCCACGGATCTCTGTTGAGAGTCTCCAGCATCTCCTCACGGGCCCGATCCCGGGCCCGCAGGACAGCCTCCCGGAGGGCGTTCTTCGCCGCTCTGTATCCCTCGTACAGCTCCGCCTCAATGGCTGCCGCATTCGGTGGACGAATGCGGAGCCTGCGATGCCTGGCGTACAGGTGCCGCGCGGCGATACACGCCTCGCGCAGAGACGTCAGCTCACGCGACCACCAATACACCTGACGCCGGGCGCTTCCTGGCCGGACGCGGGGCATTGCCACGTCACATATCTCGGACATGGCCTCCTGGAACCACCCTGCCTCATCATTGACGTCGGCAGGCCTGTCCGGTGATGACACCCAGGCCTGCACGATCGAGGCTTCCAGGAGGAGCTCCCGGTCCAGCTGCTTCAGCGCCCAACGCGGACCACTCGGGGCCTGTTGGACTGGCGCGCTCGAGGGCTGGGTGGAGACATCAAACCGGATGTACCGGTGGTCGGAGTAGGTCTCCACCCCCTCCATGACACGCCAGTCAATGGCACGCGGCGACAGAGCGGGGCTAGCGAACGAAATGTCCACCACCGACTCGCCCCGCATCCGCACACACGTGGGGACAGAACCCCGATTTAGGACGACCAGGCCTGTCTCCAGAGCCCAGTCTTCCACCATCCTACCCCGCACATCTGTACGACGAGAACCCCAAGCCAAGTTCTTGGCATTGAAGTCCCCGAGGACAAGTACGGGGAGGGGATAACTTCCGACGACGACTGCTCTCAGCTCTGCAAGAGAGTTGTGGAGCTCGGCGAGAGATCGGTTCGGGGAGAAGTACACCCCCACAACGACGAACTCCCCGAACCGTGCTGCTACGCACCCCCTGACCCCTCCTGACACCTTCAAGGGTCGGGGTACCGGCGGCGGCCGAAGAGATGATGGCCACTGAGCCGTTAAGGTCCGCCACCCAGTCCTCCCTAGGCCAAACAAAATACGGCTCAGCGACCACAGCTATGTTAATACGACCACTGCGCCATGCTCTGGAGCAACAGATCCTGAGCGCAGGCGCAGTGGTTGATATTCGCCTGGAGGAAGCTTAATGGGGCCGTTATAGGCATTCCATTTCAGCTTCCTCCACGGGGGGCCCCTCTGCGGGCGTCGGTGTCGCGGCGGCGGCGGCGGCGACAGTGATAGCAGTGGCGGTGGCAGTTGCGGCTGCGGCGGAGGCCACAGAGGCGGTGGCGGCTTTGGCCCCTACCCTACCCGCGGCCTTGGCCTTGGCGGGTGGCACGCAGGCCTTGCTTCCGGCCCGGTGATCGGCTGGCTTGCCGGTCGCCGCACACGCATCACAGTGCGGCGTGGCGCAGCAGGTTGCCGATATGTGTCCGGGCTGACAGCAGCGGAAGCACAGGCGACTACGGTCAACCTCCGAGGCGCATCTCACTGATACGTGGTGCCCCACGAGACAGCGATAGCACCTCAGAGGTCTGGGCTCCAGCAGCTTAACCTGCGCTGAGACCCAGCCCACCAGCAGCCTTCGGCCCTCCACTATGGTTTTGGCCGCCGTAACAGGGCAGCACACCGTGGCGGCATGCATGCCCCGTTGGTCCGGGCGTATGGCGCCTGACCTAACCTGGTCAGTAGTGCACCCCCCGGACCTGGCGACGGCGGCCACCAACTCCTCCTCCGATACCGAGTCGTCCAGACCCATGATGCGCAGGTCTGCGCATCTGACGGGCCTGGATACCCGGGCCTCTTCCGCGTCCAGAGACGCTCTGAGCTTCGCAGCCAGAGCGTCCGCGGTCGCGCCACTGGATTCCCCCGGGGACCTCTAGCATACGGGCCCCCGTCTGGGTGACTTTGAGCCGGAGGCCCCCGGTGATCCCGAGCTCCCCGAGATCCACCGCCTCCTTCGCCTTCGGCGAGCAGATCGCGGTAGGTAACGCCCTTCTTTTTCCGCGTCCGGCTGTAGTGTAATCACTACAGCTGCGGTCTTCGGGGCGCGGAGCCTAGCCGCGATCTTGCGCGCCCTGAACTGGCGCTGCCGCTCCTGCTCTTTGGCCTTTTTGGCTGCCTTCTTACCCTTCTTCTTGTTCCCGACCACCTGCCAACCGGCTTCAGCCGCGGGAGGTGTAGGGAGCTGGGGGGCAGTGACGGTGGCGGCAGCTGGCTTGCCGCTGGCGCTGGCACATTCGCCGCAGGCACTGGGGCTGGTGCAGCCACCACCTGTGCTGCCGCCTTGCCCTTTCTCGCCTTCGTCTTGCCTCCCTTTCCCGTCGCCGGCTTAGCCGGAGCCGGTTCAGCCGGTACCGGATTTGCCAGAGCCGGCTTTTCAGGGGGGAGGGGGCAACTGCAGCCCTGCCCGAGGGCTGGCTAGACGGCCCCGGCCTGGATGCGGCAGCCGTGGCCGCCGCGTACGAGACCGTTGCCGGCCTCGCTGCCGTCTTGTTTGCCCCTAGGGGGGCGCAGGACGATGCCCTCCAGCACGGAGAACCGGTGCTGGAAGGCAGCCAGCTCCTGCCGGACCAGGTTCAGAACCTGGTTCTCCACCGGCACGGGCCGGCTTGGGCACTGCGTCTGGGGCGCCGCGCGAGAGGCAGGCTCACGTAGACTGGCCAGGTCTGCGCGGAGCTTCTCGTTCTCCTTCTGGAGAGTCTCCATGGCGGACGTCAGGCGGGCCACGTCCGCCCGCAGCTTTGCCACCTCGTCCGCATTAGGCCCGGCGCCAGCAAAGTTGGCCTCCGCAGCCGCCATGATGGAGGCGGAGGCCCCGGGAATGGCCTTAAACTTCGAGGCGGGCTTTTGCTTGTTGGCCACGACCTTGATCGCGGCCTCCACCTCCTTTACGAATCTGGCCTTACGCTCCACATCGGAGCCGCCAGTCGCACTCGTCTCTTCGCCTGATACCGTATCGCCCGGGTGGCGCCCCTCCTCGGCAAGCTTTGCCGCTCGTTCGGCCCTCTGATTGGCATTCCCCTTGCCTCTCAGCCCGCCCCGCCCGTTGGTGGGGATTTTCCGGGCCGAGACCTCGTCTTCACCGGATGATGGCCCCTGGTCGCCATCCCGCCTGGACCGCTTGCGGAAGAACTTACTGTTCTCCGCGGTCCCAGGCCCCACACGTCGGGAGCTCTCTGGGCCTCCCACGCTGCTCGATGCGGCGTCGGACTCTGTCCCCGCATCGTTCCTCCTCTCCTCTACTTTTTTTGTTTGTTTGTTTTTTTTTTCCATATTTGTACCCACGATTATGGGGGAATTAAACGTCCACCTTGGCAGAGACCCCTGTACCAAGGTAAGCAGATTTAGAGGATTTATTACTCGCCAGGGGGTCTGCAGGTACCCTGGCGAGGACCGCACTTGCGGCTGATTTGTTCATAGAACCCCGTCAGCCATCCATCCCCTCGCGGTGCGTCGCCGCTTGGGATTCGGGGTAACTTTTTATAGAGGTTTTCTCCCTCGCGGTCCGGGCGATTAAGCCAAGACCCTCGGTCCTTATCAAAGCCGCGAGACATGATCCACGACACTTCGACTAGGATTACGAGACCGGCGGTGACAGCAAAGGATGAATCCTTCACTGTCTGCCCGGAGGCAGGGTAAGTGCACACCGAGCCCGCCCTCGCTCCTCTGCTATGCCCTCTGCTGATCAGAGGGTCACGCAGAGGAACGCACTGTTGGTCCGGGATGGACCCCCCCATGTCAGAATAATTAGCCGCGGCAGCAACATTCCCCAAGGAATAAGAATTTCTTCTCATTTCTCGAGGAAGATTACCGCCGCGCCCAGGGTGCACCGGCCCAGTTGCTGCTCTTCCCTCCAGACGTATCGAGAGGGACTCGTGACTACCAGGCACACGTGGAGGACTTCTGACTTCGCACCCCTTACTAGCTACCCTAAAATCAGCTTTTTGAAAACATTGCTAGCGTACAGCAAACTCACATTAGATTATTATTTTAGTTTGTTATTTTTATTTTAGGTTATTTTCTTTTTTTAAATTTAAATGTAAATGTTTATAGGCCACAGCATCCACTAACCATCAGATAGACTGTGTGCTTGTTTGTCACACCCATTCTATAAAATAACATAACTGTAATAAGTAGTTTCAATAACTAACTGTAAACTAATATATATTATTTTCTTTTAGAGTTGGCTACTCAAGAAATCAAACAACAGGCAGCAGAACTAGAATTACAGACAAATAAAATTCTTTCGGAAAAAGCTACATTAGAATTGAAGATTTTAAAAAACAGTTTACAAAATAAAACAAGTGATTAGTTAAATTACGTTTTATTTTAACCTTGTTTAAATTTTTTTTTTACTATTGAGAAAAAAATCTATTGACAACAGATTGTCTGACCAAAAAACCATTACTGTTTTCTTGTACAGGAACATTATCGATGTTACTGATTAATATATTGTCATCAGTAGAAGGCATCATGACATCGTCTAACATTGTTGAATATCGTGCAGTGTGGCACATGCACATATCACTGCCACAACGGTTTCCTTTTTGATCCCCATTCCCATCTGGAGAAAAGAAAACCTCCGTTTCCAAATTCCAAAGGTCCTTTCAACAGTATTCCGTGTTTTAATATGACTATTATTATACAGTTCTTGTCTAATACTATTAGGTGACAAAAATGGTGTTAGCAACACACTGCTAACTGCATATCCACTGTCTCCAAGTAGCATACCCTGTCCTTGTAAATTTCCAATGCTTAACCTTTGTTTGACAGAACCGCTATTATATATAAAGCTGTCATGTGTGCTGCCTGGCCAACGTGCAACCAAATCAAAAAATTCTAAATTAGGTCCTGTTACTGCCTGTACTGTATTGAAAAAAACCCTTTCTGTTTCTATACACTTCAGAAGACATTCCACCAGGACTTCTTATTTTAATATGTGTACAGTCAATACATCCTATCACTCCAGGAAATTGTGCCACTTCAAAAAACTTTTGTCTGCAAGAAATATTCAGAAGTTTAGTATGTTACTATTAAAAGTATGTTGAATGTAGAATATGTATAATATTTATTAATGTCTATTAGCATGTTTATATCATGAACATACTTTACTTGATTGATATCTTCCACTGTAGATGGAAATTTTACAAACATTTTCATTTGTAGTGCTATTGAATTAGACACAGTAGTTATAATTCTTGATACTGACTGTTGGCATATATTCATGACATCCCCATCTAGTTTCTGATAAAATATGAGACCAGGTAAGTACCTTGCATAAGTGATGGATTTATTTAATTCAGTCACAGTATCCTGTGTGCCTTGCTATAACATCACTTTACAGTGAGGTTTGCAGATATTGTGATTGGGTTGTGCAGCAATAATTTATAAGGGGTACCTAATATTAAAGGTCAATAGCACACAGTATTTTACTTACTTGAAAACTCCCAGTAGCATAGTACCTCAACGTAACGAGAATCATTATTTCTGGAGCAAACGGCAGACCTTTGCTGCTAGGTTTTTTTTAAATGTGGTTCTAGCATTGGCATTATGGTATTTTTTATTGCTTGGGGGGTAAAGCGATATCGTGAGTAAAATTCTTGACCAGTATATTTCTGAAATGGATCCGAATAATCACGCAAATAACATCTTAGTCCTGGTTCCCTAAATCTTCTTGCGTATTCCACAAAATCAACAAACTCTTCATAATCTGACATTTTCTCAAAATATCACAATTTGATCACAATAAACAAATCCTAGAAAATAACCACGCAAATTGACCTTTCAAAATCATTCACTACGAAGTTAAGTAAGGGTTGAGCGTTACTTAAAGTTAACGGTTCCTTAGGCCTACTAATGAACCATTAACTCACTCTGAGAGTCAAATTTTTTAAATCTTTACTTAGTGACGGCCTAAGTAATCATTAAACGTCTCTGAGTGCGGCAGTTATTCTGTTAAAAACAGTAACTTTAATTAAACTCTCGAAATTCAGTAAATTTAAAAGGAAAATTACAGCTACAGCTAATTTAGTAAAGGACTGAATGGAAAGCGCGACCCTATGTAAAAAATAATAAATAATTGACAGAGTTTTGGGACAAGGAAGAATCCGCCTTGGTTTAACAACTGTTCACGGTCTTAAAATGTTCTTGATTTTTTTTACTTCTATTGAACATACAGCTCTACTTGACTACAACATATTGCTAATCGTGCGTAATTAAAGTAGTTATTGACGTTAGCTTTTCAAAACATGAACAGCTGTTGGTAAAAAAAACGAATAGTTGATAAATAGAGTAACCCTACATTAATGGTTAATTCTTAAAATACAGCGCACCAGTTTAAATTTTGGAGAGTTATAAACAAGCACGCAGCGATAAATCACCTAGCTCCGAGTGATTTTCACGTTTTACTCACTCGAAAAAGCACATGCGTGGTATAAAATTCGAAGGCGACACACGGGTGGTGTGTGCTGTAGAGGCATTTTTCGAGTCCCAGGATCAAACCTTTCTTTCTAAAGGAATTAACTAACCTGTAAAAGTTGTATTAGCTTAAAAGGCAGTTACGTTGAAAAATATATACAATTTACACATACCCATTCTAGAGTTTCATTGTGTTTCCAAAAACTTTTTGAACAACTTGGTATAACTGCAAAATAAATGAGGGTATAACATAAAATAAAGTACAACAAATATAGGGAAGAACTTGAAATTGCTTAAGGATAAGTAGTTGCCAATCAGTCTTAAAGGAGACTAGCCATCTATGCAAGCGGGTATATAGTGCATAAGTATTCGCGTAAGCACAGGTGCACTCTACATTCTCTCATATTATAGTCCGATGGGACGGTAATCCGATACGATCGAGGAGATCAGGTGCAGGACAATCGACTTTACGAAATTTTCGAGGTACTAGGGTGAAACACTGCCTGTTTCCCGACTCCCGACGGGTTGCTACTGAGAAATTATTGACAAAAAACCTTAATAATTCATTCTGGATTGAGCTAGGATTAGAACCCGGAACCAAATGATTAGCAGTCGCACCCACGACTACTAAATCAATGAGGCAGTTGCAAAAATAAATTATGGTGCAGGCAAGTAGCCTGAATTAGTGTGTCATTCAATCAACGAGTATATTTGCCAACTTTCATAAAGGAAGTGGCCCACACTTCGTCTGTTATTTTTTTATAAATGTTTCGCGATATCTTCGTCAATTGTGAACCAATTTTGATGATTATTTTCTATCCTAAATAATGGAGTACCAAGCTCAAAGTGTGACGTCAGCACATCACTAATGTTGCCTTCATGGTGATCACTCTTCCTCAATCTTCTAAAGAAGACACTACAAGTATACTGAAATCCTCGTTTATTTGACTGAGAGCGTAACGAAGTACTTAGAGAGGTTTACACTGTTTGACCGCCCAAGTGAGACTGACTTAGCGCGCTTTGTGCGGCCTTATTTATACCGTGGCGGACACGTGTACATCAGTTTAAATTGAGTATTGAATTATGTAAATCACAAGATATTAAAATTGTAATAATCAAACAGTGAATAATTAATGGCTTGTGAACTATTGTTGGTGTGCCGATATATAAGTTAACTCGTTAGTTTAGTGCTCGTAAGCGTAATTGCGGATCATAAGGTCCTAGTTTCGAATCCAGAGTCATGTCAAAATCAGTTATTGTATTTCTCTGTATGAAATTTTCAGTAGCACCCGGCAAGAAGAAAGTTGGCGGTTTTTCTTCTCAGGGCCTCGAAAAGCACGTAAAATACTCCTACGCCTGATCTTCTTCCAGTCGTATTGGGTTGCTATTCCATCGGTATGAGAGTCAGGGAATAGAGAGTGCATTTGTGCTGAGACATACACTCGTGCACTATAATCCTGACCTGCGCGGCTATCTAGTCTAATTAAGACTGACCGACGTGACTTAAATTGGGTCTGGAGGACATTATTGTTACAAATAAAATCAATAAATTATACTTCAAAGATGGTACCAACGGGTTCCCATCTTATATTTGGCGGCGGAGGGGGGTCTTAGTAGCCGTGGCTTGTCATCTGTGGCCGTGGAAGGAAAAGGGGAGATCTCCCGCCGGGCAAGGTGTTCTGCCCGGGGAGCGGCTCACACTCCGTGTGATAATTAGGAGGTATTCTATATATACTGTTTATGATTCGGAATGTTGATAGCGCGATTTAGGCTTCGGTGTGTTTTCGCTTGTGGCGGCGACGACAGCGCCGCTACATTACCCCCTGCTCAGACCGGAGGTCGATAGTGCATCGTTGCCGACGAATGTGCAAGTGCCAGGAGATTGCCTTGTAGTCTGCGGTGAGTCGAGAAGAAGGCAAGTAATCTGCGAGAGTGCCGTGAAGCAGAGGCGAGCAGTAAGACTCAGAGGCTTGCTGAACACTGTAGCGCAGAGTGTAGGTTGAAGGAACAGGAAGCATTATTATTCCAGTGCTGCGATGAACCTTGTGAAGCTAGATGGCTTGCAGGATATGAAGATTGCAGACGATATCTGCTCGGGAGCGAATGGGTGGGGTATTTATGACGATGATGAAAGCTTGAAGTTTCCGAAGGTTGTTGGTTGCATGTTCAGATCACGTCGGGGTCACCACTGTGGCCGTGGAAGGAAAAGGGAGATCTCCCGCCGGGCAAGGTGTTCTGCCCGGGAGCGGCTCACACTCCGTGTGATAATTAGGTGTTCTATATATACTGTTTATGATTCGGAATGTTGATAGCGCGATTTAGGCTTCGGTGTGTTTTCGCTTGTGGCGGCGACGACAGCGCCGCTACATCATCCATGCTGAACTAAATGGAACCCATATGGCTGGCCCGAGGTGTAGAGCCGGCCCGAGGAGGCTCCTTCGAGTGGGCTTGGCAAGCCCAATTCGGATGTGTGTTGGTCGGCTGCAGCGAGAGGGGTGCCCTCTGCCTCTACTACTGCAGTCGAGGTGGAGTTGTGGAGGAAGAGGAGAAGAGGAGTATTGGTATGGTGATGCGCCAATCGCACCGTTAATTGATGCGGTGGTGGTGGAGCTGCGGGGAGTAGTGTCGGTATAGCGAGGCGCCGCCCTCCCTACCCTCCGCAGCCGAATCTAGGTGGGCAGCGGAGCCATGGACCAGATCCGCTGCTGGAGTCAAGAAGGCTTGTGCTTCTGCGTGCTCGTTTTTTCTGACTCCATGGCCTTCGCGCGTCGAGCACTGGGGCATCTGTTGCGCATGTGAAGTTGGAGGCCGCGAAGGAGGACGCACCATGTGTTCTGGTTCGCCTTACATAAGAAGGAGATGGGGGACGAGTGGTCCTCTCCCGAGGAGGAGCCGCCATGGGACGGCTGGCACTGGTGGGCCACGGTTGTGTGCAAAAGGTGGAACACCATGAGGTTTTAGTCAGTGCGAGTCCGGCATAACCCGTTCTTGCCCCTGCGAGGTGGGTATGTATAGGCATTTTACCATGTTTAAGAAAAGGTAGCAGCCGTTTACCTATTTCTAAAGCTAATCGCCAGTATGTGTACTGTCGTACTTCAGTCTGAAAATATAAAGAGCCAGTTTAAGGTGACAACGCATCTTTAGCTTCATTTTTTGTTGTTCGTTGAAGGTGTCCATAGTCTACAATAGTTATTTACCATCAGGTAGTCAGTATGTTAGTTTATCATTTGGGTATATTTAATTATGTTCTATTTTTTTTCTATTTAGATAACTTTGATTTACAAATGAAATGTACTATAGAGGTAACTTTCATTTACCTAGTTATAGCTAGACGGCTCCGTAGCGCAGTGGCTAAATAATTTAACAAAAAGAAAACTTAATAAGAAAAAAGTTGAGTGCCGCGGGTTCTAAATCTGAAGGATTCAAGTATTTGTATTGCCTACAAATAATTTTTCCAGGTCTGGATGTTTGTATTTGTGAAATTTATGTATGTGATATCGCCCGCGCCGTTACACGTGCGGTAGCGCCTCTGTGGCTGGCCAGAATTCTTGTAAATAACACGTGCACTACACACTTGCGCGTTGCACCTACGGTGATGCCCGTGTGGCTAGCTACTTATTTTGCTTGTACACAATAGACAGAGCGATCGCCGTTAGGGGAGTTTTGACGGTTTTAAATTTAGGATTGATTCTGGCGTGGTACCGTGCACTTATTGAATTTTACCACTAATCCTAGCCCTACTGCTCCTAACACCACTACACTAGGAAGGACACACTACCTTCGATAATACGACATGTGTTTCGCCTCTACGCTAGGCATCCACAGGCGAAGTAGATTCTTAGCGTTCAGCCACCGCAGAGTCTAATTCACCTGACGATGCCTTCACATTTGGCATAATATACCCCATTTTGTTTGGTAAGTGTATCCAGTGAATGTTTATACACCACAACTACATGGGTAATATTCGGTCATTGAATAATGGTTATCTTTATGGCTCAGCTGGCTGACTTTATGGAGAAAGAGGGACTCTTTATGATGAACTCTTTCTTCCAGAAGCGGCCCCAC